AAACGGCTCTCCATATTATGAAGGCCCCCAGAGGCCCAATTGTAATTATTCATTTATATATTTACCATTATTTAACCAGGCAAGTCCCGTTGAGATCCCAGATCTCTTTTTCAAGGGAGGCCTGGGCCTGAAGGCAACCTATTGTATATGTTTTAGGGGTGGGGGAAGCTGGAGTACGTGGAGAAAACCCACGCAAGCACGAAGAAAACATGCAAACTCTGCACAGAAAGACCCCAGGTCCGAACCGGGGATTGAACCCAGGACCTTCTTGCGGTGAGGCGTTGGTGCAAATCACTGAGCCGTCATGTCGCCTAATTAACTTTAATGTTTCGTGTTTAACTTCGACTAATGGTTATGGTTAGTGGGGATTGATATAAAATCCACATGAGTGGGGGCCTCCTACGTGGGTCCATTGCTCTTCCCAAAAAGACACTGGTCTTTATTTGAACCTTCTCGACTTTCGGAAGAAGGACACAAGGTTAGAAACACTCAGTGTTCTGAGCTTCTCAGGATCCATAAAGAGGTTCCCAAGAATTCTTTTCCTTTGACTGCTCAGAGCCAGGCAGTGGCCTAAGTAGTGCAAAGAGGTCTCTGATTCAATGCCACAGGCATCACACAGACCATTTTCATGGAGTCCCATCACCATTTTGTGGCGGTTGAGCAGATTGTGCCCATTTAGGACTCCAACCAGTGTACTTAGAGTTTTCCTTGTCAGGGAGATGAGAGCTTTCCCAAACCTTAGATTTGGGCCGTTAATCAGTTCCCGTGCCTGTCTACAGTCCATCAGCTCCCTCCAGCAGATTGAGAGTTGACGTCTAATCCAAGTCTGTAGAGCAGTCCTACAGACTGTTGTTGAGGTTCCTACAACTCTCCCACATTTTGACAAGGAATTCCCTCCTCCCAGTACAACTGGGCCGCACCAAATGTAGCTGCTGAAAATGCAGTGAAATCTTTACATTTTGCCAGCTGCCAACTAGTTTTGAACCCTGCGCACCTCCACCTAGTGGTGGGATGCCGTCATTTTGTGGGTAAAATAAATAAATAATAGGAGATGTAGTTTATGATGTCTTGTAAAAGAGGCTAAAAATACATCTTTGAAGCTCTCGCCATGAAATGCTGTGAAGGGTCACATTTGGGGGTTTACTGTGACCTTTTTGCTGAGAGACAACAGCTGTAACCACTGCACCACTGTGTCATCCTCAGATCAGCTCATTAAAATGTTAAAACAGCTTTCATTAGATTTTCATAAGGTGGACTCCACTGAACTTGGATTATTTGATTGGCTTCATGCTAAAATTTAAATTAAAACCCCTTTTTAAAAGGACAGGTTGCAATTTTAGTCATTAGTGTCACAGAAATAAAATAATATCTGTTCTTTTTGATTTTTAATTGGATAGATTTTCCTATTGCAAAGAAAAAACACATTTTACATTTTCCTCATGTTAAACAAGTGCCAGTACAAATACAGTTCTGACAAGAATCTGCACAACTCTGAATTATAAACATGGGCTTAATTCTAAAACTGTCTCGTACAGTGAGAGATCAGATGTTACAAAGTCAAGAGAACAGATTTTAACTTTATGGCAAAACTCAGCCAAAGATAATGTCTTCAGTGTAAAACAGAAGTGTAAGAACATGTTGCACACAGAACTGTGCTATCTCACACACACACACACACACACACACA